CCATGTGGTCTCCGTCATGAACGACGAACACGGATCCCATTTGGACATATCCGATAAGAACTCCTCAAACCCATCACTCGAGTCATCAAGGTAACTTTACCAAACCCTCTTACTTTATTTTCTGATGCATGATCATTCATTCATCCATTCTCATACACGCATTCACACATTCATTCATACAATCATTCATTCATCCCATACATCCAAAGCATCACATATGCAATTAATGCATTACAACGCTTTGTGTTGCGTCACGAAGCGGTAGTTGCCTCATTCAACATGAGCAACGACCGACCAGGGTTCGAAGGCTGGCCTGCAGAGGGCTCGAGGCTGCCTCGTGTCAAATAGAACCAGGGGAGAAAACGCAGATGAGCCCCAGCGGACCTCACCCGGTATGCTCAGAAGCAGATAGAGTCATCTCGACCTTCTCGTTCGATCCTAACCTCGAGCCATGCCCATAGAATCCCCATCGAGGGGAGGCCAGCGAGCCACCTGAGTCGGTCTCTAGAATGACTCGGGCATCTGTCGGGAGGTGGGTTAAGGAGCAATAGAATGCCACATGAGGGCTATGCTAACCCCGTTACGAATGACGGACTCGGATTCCGCTCGAACGCACCCGTTAGTGAGCTCACCAAGCGCGTCACTCGAGCCATCGAGGCAAGCGACGTTAGCTCAGCCCCTCCGGTTACGAAAACCGCAGACAGGGTAATGCACAGAACTAGACCAATCCCTACTAAACCCAATGGGGCTCAGGGGCTTAGGTCGCCCGACGTTGACTCGGGAAATCAACCGACCGTGCAGGTCGTGGGCGGTACAAACACAGGCGAACACCCCAAACGGCAAAAACACAGGAGTCTGCGGCCCCAGGAAAGAGTACCAAGATGCTTAGCCTCCAACCGACTCATCAGTCGGACGCAGGCTCGGGGGCTATACCCATCGGATGCGCTCGCGCGCACCTGCTGGCAAGTCAAAAAAATCCCCTAGATGATTCTACCCGAATCGCCCGGGGGCTCGGGGGCTACACCCACCGGGAGCGCTCGCGCGCACCCGCTGGCAAAACAAAAAATCCCCCAGACGATTCTACCCGAATCGTCCGGGGGCTCAGGGGCTCCTGTCGGGTTCATAAACCTGGGGTCCCTAATGGGCCTGCTTCCCAGCAAAAGCTCGGCCCAGCAGACGATATTACAAACAACGCGCAACTCCTGGGCCGGCCCAGACACCTAACGACAGGCCGGAAGAGCGATTCAGTCTCCGACTGGAAGGTCTGGCCAGGGAAGGGCGACGCTCGCTTCCGACTCCGATCCAGTCTCCGACTGGAAGGCCTGGCCAGGGAGGGGCGACGCTCGCTTCCGACTCCGACCCGCTTCTCCGACCGGAAGGCCTGGCCAGGGAGGGGCGACGCTCGCTTCCAACTCCGACCCGCTTCTCCGACCAGAAGGCCTGGCCAAGGAGGGGCAACGCTCGCTTCCGACTCCGACCCGCTTCTCCGACCAGGAATACACCAAACCTCTGCCTACGGCTCTTCTCCGACCGGCGCGGTCGGAGCCGACTGGGAACGACCGGCCGGGGACACCCGCTCGGTGAGGAGTTGAGAAATCAGGCGAAGCAGATAAGGTAAGACGCTCAAGTCAACCGCAATACCGAGGACCGTACCCCGCATACCTGTAGGACAGTACTGTCGGGTCATGTCAGAAGGGTACTTTATAACCTTCCAGACATGTCAGAACACGAACAGTGTTGTGGGCGCCGACATTTGTCCTACAGTATGGTAGGCACCGACATTTGCCATACCAGAAGAACACGATGGAGCCTACCATATGCATCTGGGCGTCAATAGTATTGTGGGTGCCGACAAACCGTCTTGTACCCGACGGCGTGGGCAACAAGACTAGGTAGCACACACTCTCTCTTTCTCTCACTCTCCCTCTCACTTGTAAGGCAGTCCCCTTCATCTATAAAAGGGGATGCGCCCTCTCCCAACGAGGAGAGAAAACAAAGACGACAACAAACGGTTCATTTCGACTCTCACTCTGCTAAGCTTAGACATAATGAGCACTCGAATAGCACCATAGCTTTAGAACTCTAAAGCTACATAGAGCGTACGTTCCAATACTTAGTGCACGTAGGAGCTCCCGTCACTCTTGGCTCTTCAGTCCAGAGTCCGACCGGACCTCTGACACCCCTCCATCTTATTCCCCCTCGTTTGTAACCCCACAGCAAACTTCGAGCACCTGGGCTCAAGAATAAAGTCACCGACCGACTCAAACTGGACGTAGGGCACATTGTATGAACTAGTATAAACCCTGTGTCATTGAGTGCTAGGCCACATCCGATCACAATGTACGGCAAAACTACAAATATTTACGTGTTGGTCACTTTTCGCATCGACAAGGATGGCCGAGTGGAGAAGGCGGGATATGTCATGGTCCTAAGGGGCGCGCCCCAGAGCGGGCCAAATGGGCCGGCGGGAGCCCGTAACCAAGTGGCAGCCGAGGACGCAGGGCGCGCACGCCGCCAGGAGGAGGTGTGGCAAGGGGGCTGTGCCACCTCTACCTCCCCATTATCCCAAGATTTAGGTAGTTTAGGAAAATAAAGATATTTTGACAAAAAAAATATAGATAATTGTTTAGAAAAATAGGGTCAAGATTTTTTAGGAAAGGATAAAATTTGTTTTCGGAAAGGTGAATTCAAACCTATAAGGACTCTCCATTAGATTGTTTGGTGTGCAAGTCCTCTAGGGACTATAAATATAGGGGCAACGTAACTATTCCAATCAAGAAGGAAATAGAGCTTTGCTCTTAAAACAAATCTCCTCTCGCTCTCTCGCTCCCAGCGCCATCGCCCTTGCCCCTAGCACACCGCGGCGCACGCTGCCACCCTCGCCCACGCCGCGCTGCTGCCCTAGCGCCGCCGCCGCACACCGTCGCCGCCATCCCCTAGCCGCCCTTGAAGGGACCGTGACGCCAAAGAGGGTGGTGAATTAGGCAACTTAAAAATCTACTTCTAACTATGACCTCTAATTTTCACCTTAGCAAAACCTTTGCAATTAAATAAACTATCTAAATGTGCAACTATGGTTTTGCTAGTATATTACTATCTCTACCACAAAAGAATTATGCAACCTAGGTTCCAATCCTATCAACTAGCCTATCAACTAAGCTAAGAAAGGTAAAGCACACAACCAAGATTGCAATACAAATGCGGAAGCTAAAGATGAGGTAGAGATGCAAACTCCCGTCGACTAAGCTCTTCTTCCTGCGCTTGCATCTGAACCGCCCGCTTTAGATCCACTGCCAACGCTACTTGGATGACTCGCCCCCGCCTCTTCCACATCGGCCTAGCGCCCGTCTCTTCCAGGTCGCCCGGAAGACTCGCCCCTGCCTCTTTCACAACAGCACCGCGCGGCCTGTGCCTCCTCCACGCGTTGGTGGCCGCGGCTTGGCCGTGCCCGCCCTCATGGAGACCAACGCCGGTGGTCTACACTTGCAACATGAAACACTCGATTGCAACATACATTTGAAACAAATGAAACATTTGAGAGATACGCTTGCAACATATGTGTGAAACATATACAACATCCAGATAAAACAACTGCAACATGAAAAACGCTTACTGCAACATAAGATTAAAACAGCTGAAATATTTGGAACATACTGTTGCAACACATGTGAGAAAACATATGCAACATCCAGATAAAAAACGATTGCAACATACGTCTAGAAACAAATGAAATATTTTGAACAAAAGTTTGCAACATATGCAACATCCCTCGATCTACTTTTGCAACATCCATAAGAAACAACTGCAACATACCTTCTAATGAGCGACGGCGCATGAGCACCACCACCACCAGTACCGGTCCTGGCTCGGCGGCGATGGTACGGGATGGGGGGCGAGGAGCGCCATGGCCGCCGGGGTGACGGGAGCTCGGTCGCCGAGGCGAGAGAGGGCGTCGCGTCTCGGTGGAGAGATGGCCACTCCCCTACAGCACCGCCGCGCCACCTATATGGATCTCGCTAGGGTGGGGGAGAGGGCCGCCGGATATGCAGCCGTTGGGGGCTCCCGATGGGGGGGAGATGCGGCAAGGGATGAGGAGCGCGGAAGGCGGGTAGGAGCGGAGCGAGCCGCGCAGGAGTTGATTGTGTTTTTTTAGGCGAGTGGCGCATACGACAGTGAGTGAAGTGAGGCATCCGGACTTCTGGACACCTTAGTGGTAGCATTACCGAAAACAATATTAGCAATGAAATAGTCACAACTCTTGCATTATGAGTGCAACAAAAAAGAGGTGCATCATTCAAGAGAACCACAAGTTCACGGAAAATTCAGCTCTGCCTGTATTTTGTTCAAATAAAGTAAATCGGTAAATAGACAAAATGACGGCAATTCGCAATTAGAGGACAAGAGACGCATAAAAATTCATGTGCTGTCATGCCATTCATCTCACAATACCAAATCCACTCGACATACACACAAATTTCAGCGGCAGGGAAGGCACCTTCCATAATTCTTATGTTGGCACCGATCCAATTCATCGCCAGTCAACTATGAAAAAATTTATGTACCATACTGTCAACAGGATGAAGATGTTCTTATTTCATATCCCTTCATTTCGCATGTACAAGGGTACACAAAGACCTATAGCCAGAGTCCAAGGACCATGGCCGCAACAAAGTTTAACTTAGGGGAGGAAGAAAGGGAGGTTGGAGGAGGGCAATGGCGCCATTTTAACTTAAAACTTAACTCTGGAACCTCAAACAGCTGGTAAACGAACTCGACTCAGGTACACAGTTTTAATTACACCAGGCGGAGGGGATGACAGCCGGGCCAGCCACGGCTACTGAGGGGGGGAGGAGGAAAAACCCGACTGGATTTGGGGCCGGCCAAGTCGCGCAGACGCATATGCCATGGGGGTGTACTATGGCGGCTGTACAATATGGCGCAACTGTGATCCTTCTGATTTTATGGCGCAGTTGTGATCCTTCGGATTTTATGCTCTCCCATCACATGAAGTAGCTCAGCGCTTTCTTCTTCCTTGACCCGCCTTCACCATACAGGTCATTCCATTGATGAAGCTCGTTCATGTTTGCTGAATCAGACGAAACGCTCGCACAAACCTGCAGTGAGTAAAAAGAGGTTAGGATGCTGCTCTAGAAACAAGAATGTAGGTTGTAGTAGGTTGCAGCTCTAGAAACAAGAATGTAGGTTGTAGAGAAAGTCAGGAGATATGAAATGGAGGCAAATTTGGTGTTCTCACCTGCTCATGGGCAGATTTGAAGTCATCTATGCTAAGAGGACGGATGTCCTCGCTTCCATACAATGCAGGCTCTGGCCTACCTTCTGTTTTAGCCAAATTCTTCTCCTGCACACAATGGAATTGAACCCAATATTCATGATTTAACAGTAAATGCATAATTCACACATCACTGCTCCCTGCTGCAAAGGATAATCGTACTGCCAAGTGCAAACAGCGCAACCAAAAGCAGAGAGAACATTGTGTACCTTCTTTTCCTTCTCCAGAATTTCTCGAATGGGATAATGCGCTGCGGTCACACACAGATTCTGAAAGCACAAACTCAATGAAAACCATGCAGAGGGTTTCTAGCAATTGCATGCATAAAAAGCAAACATACCTTAAGGTCGCTTCCTGAATAACCATCAGTCATATTGGCAAGTGAGTCCAGATCAACATCCAATCCCAGCTCTTCTTTTGCCAAAATTACTTTTAGAATTTTCTCTCTATTTGATGCATCGGGTAAGTTTACCATTAACCTGAAACAATTGAGTAAAATGCTGATAAATATGGAACCAACAGCAATTTGATAATCCCACCTAAGCAAACAAAACTATTGCTAACCAACAGCAACAATTAGATAATCATGGCCCACTGAACAAAACTACAGTTACCCAATTGGGTAATCCCGCCCATTGAATGGAACAATACTCACCTGCGGGGGAACCTCCTAATCACAGCCTCGTCCAGATCAAACGGTCTATTTGTAGCACCAAGAACAAGTACACGCTCCTTATCTTTAGTGCGCAACCCATCCCAATTTACCATAAATTCATTCTTCATCTTGCGCATCGCTTCATGCTCCCCTGGATTTTCTCTCCTTCCTAGCATACTATCGACCTGCAGAAAGTCAAAACAGTTGGTATACACTGTACCGATAGTGGTTACTAATGTAAACTTGTGCGCTTGCATACCTCATCAATAAATATAACACTGGGGGCTATTTTACTTGCTAGTGAGAAAACAGCCTTTACATACTTCTCTCCTTCACCAAACCACTGAAAGTAAATGAACCAATGGTTAGCCTTGAGACACTAGACCTCATCAGTTGCCCATTAGGTGAAATGATACCTTCGATGTAATGCTCGACATTGATATATTGATGAAATTAGCACCTGCTTCAGTTGCTACTGCTTTGGCAAGCATAGTTTTCCCAGTGCCAGGAGGTCCGAAAAGCAATATTCCCTTGCAAGGCTGCAATGAATGAATTGAGGAGGCAGTTATAAGATCATGACCATAGTAAATCAAGATAATCTACAAATGAAGTTTTAAAACTCCAACATATCTATGATTAACTAATAAACTAAGTAATAACACATTATTAAATAAGGAATCACTGGAAGCCAAGAGTTCATGTAAAGAGTCAGCTCGTGACATTTCCATCAGGCTAGACACAAACTAATCCATAAGCCTCAATCTTAGTCTCCCCAAGTATTTTCCCGCTCTTTAGAAAGATGAAAAACCTTATAGAAACAATACTGCCAAATTAACTAGAGGACTAGTGTATTCAGATAACTCTGGAAGACCAAAGAAAACTGATGCTCCTTGGAGATTTTATCTTGGCATTCATGCAAATTATTTCACAAATATCCAAGCAATACTATGAAATGGCAAAATGGCATGACTGTATCTTAGCTCAGTTCAAAGCAAAATGTATTAAAATGGTTCTTAGATCGTGGATTCAACGCTTGAAAAAATATCAACCACATGGGCAACCCTACAGTTGGAAAGAACACTGACACCCCAGGTAAGCGATTTCAAGCATAATTAGGCATTATGATGCTACCTTTGTTAACTGCCCTTTGCAGAACAATTCAGGTCTTTGTAAAGGGAGCATCACCAGCTCCTTTAACGTGTCCTTTACATTCTCCAAGGCTCCAATATCATCAAAGGTAACTCCAATGTCATTAGGTGGTATAACATCTGCCAAAAGCCTTTTCTCAAACTCATTCTCTGTGACAACATCCTGAGAAAAAGGATTTATATGTATAGTGTTCAGCAACTAAGTTGAGAAATCACGAAAGCATGGCAATAAGTGGGAGAGTGTACCTTCAGTGATTTTTTGGAGCTCTTGTTATCACTTTGCATGCTCAGCATGTTGAGCCCATGCTTAAGGCTGTCAAGTAAATGATTCAAAAATCCACTGAGAATTGATTTGAAAGGAAACATAGGGCAAATAGTTTTCAATAAGAAAAACTTTTTTACCTTTCACTTGTGAGTACAAGTTTAGCATCCTTGGAGTTGGACGTTTCAATTTTATTGTGCTTAAGGTGATAACTCACTGCGTACCCAACAATCTTGTCCACATCTAAGAAAGGTTGGAGGAGCAAAGTTTAAATTGAAATTCTTTAGATGAAATGTGAATAAACCAAAACAAAAGTACTTACTTTCATTACTCAGTGATTGGTCTTTGATGAATAATTCTTCAAGATCATTGCATTCAATTCCATTGCGGCTCAGAAACTGCATTACAGAGAAAGTGAAGAATCATATAATGGTCTGATTCGCTAATCATAAGTAACCATGGAAAGTAGAAGCTTAAAGTAACCATGAAAGGCCCAATGCCAGACATTTTGGTTAAATGGCTACTCCCTCCGTCCCAGAAAGAAAGTCGTTATGGGATGCGTGCAGGTCAAACTTTCTCAACTTTGACTAGGTTTGTAGAAAATACGTGCAACATTTATATCTCCAAATAAGTTTATTATATAATCAACGATCTTTCTAATGATACCAATTATATATTATAAATATTAATATTCTTTTATATATAATTGGTCAAAGTTAAAAAATGTTTGACTTCTGGGGAAGTGAGAAGACTTCTATTTAGGGATAGAGGGAGTACATCAAAAAGTTACTTCTATGAGGATATTTGATGCTTTCAACCATATTAACAGCAAAAGCATATATAGACATAGAATAATTGCATAATCATGCAAATGGTGAAAATATGCATTCATACAGAAACAGGCAACAAAGTATCAAACAGAAGAAATACTATCAAACACATGTAAATGGTCATTTGAGAATAATACACCCAGGCCATATTAGACAGGCATCACAGGCCCTTCAGTTTAGAGAAAGATACAGTTGACAGTGGGAAATATTAAGTTCCATGGGACAAGTATAATGTTGACTTCTATTCTGCAGCTTACCATGCGAATGCTACCAATATTTGATTTGGCTTTAAGTGTTTCAACATCACGATCCAACTGCTGCTTCCAATCTGTAAGCAGAGCTTCATCCTGCAAATTTAATTCTTCAGATCAGAAAATATACTTAATAACAACTAAATGAGTGTAGCAAGAGATACAATCACCTGCGGAAGCTGGATCAAAATTTTGTTTGGGAAAAGTTTATTTAGATGTTTCATTGCCTTTGGACTTTCCTTGCTTCTTTCATGCAACCTGCTACCAAAGCTATCCTGTATTTTTAATAAAAATCATATTAGTTAAAACAATGCAAATCAGGGAGATAAAATCAATATCATGGTTCATCAGACTACCAAATTTAGCCATGTAAGTACATATAAAAAACTTCAAGAAGAATAAAGAGTAAGACAAAGAAAATTTACCGAAAAGGTCAAAAAGTGTCTGGCTGCTACTGGCAAACTTTGTGAAAAGAAAACCTCCAGGATGCGCCTGCAAGAAAGATCACTTCACCATCTTAGCAAACTTTTGCTAGAATTGAAGAGAGGTAACTGATAAAAATTAAAGAAGGGTTAACAGGATATGCCAACAAAGAACCCCTGGTGTGGGGATGTGAAAAATCACAGCAATGCAAGGTAGAAAAAATAACTCAGCCTTGTTCATTTACAAAATGAATGCAGGAACCAATATGCCAAAATAGCATCAGAACTTGAAACCTCCACAATCCAAATTTGTCTAGTTTATCAGGAATAATGCATGTACCTTCTCTTTGCGGCTGTCCATCTGGGTGTGGGATCCTATAACAAGAACACCAGATGGAAGCAATTCAAGTTTGCTCCTCAAAGATGAAAGTGACTCTGTAACTCCAGTGAATGATTTCTCTACATCCTTAAGTAACACTATCAGAGGTCCAGCTTTGTTCTCTTCTGAAATGACCTGACAGGAAATGAAAATCATACTATTATACAGAGTGCTAACTTCATATTCAACAGGATTCCTTGTCCTAAAAAGCAGCAGTACCTCTATTAACTCGGTCATAGCTAGCCTCTCAACTTCTTCACCAGCAGAAAAGTCTGGGCGCAGTAATTCAGCTGTGGAAATAATGTGTCCTCAGCAACAAATAAAGAGTTCAAATAACTGCCAAAGAAGTTGAGGAATTCAGAAGTTTGAGCTAACCAGAGCAGAAGAAGCCATGATCTTCCTCGCACAAACCGCCAAGATCATTACCATCAAGGATCTGCTTGTCAAATCGGACTCCAATTTTTGAGGATCCATTATCTTCAAAAGCAAGCATCACTCTGCCTCGATAACCATAACTTGGTCCCCTGGAGATCAATCAAACAATTTATAGGAATAAATGTATGTATTGAATGAACATGGTTGCTAGAAAAAAAAATGTCATCAGGAGAAAGAATATCTCATTTTCCAGGATTGTAAGTACAAAAGCAAGCTCATAACTGGGTTCCCTATGAGAAGTCTCATATTCCAGTTATTCCTCTTCCTGTTTAAGAGGCCTACTGAGTACAAACACGAATTCCATGGGAAAAATGTTTCATCCAACCATAGTAAACTATAGTTTGTAAAGACTATCTGACGGATGGACACCAAATAAAATGTTTCTTTCAAAAATGATGAAGTGTCAGGTGCACAAGCATAATTGGTGGATATGTTATCCCAAACGGTGAACAGTCAGTCACTTATCATTTAAACTAGAAAAACGGCTGTTAAATGGGCAAAACAACCAATTAAATGGAAACGGTGTACCACCATATATCGTTTAAATGGTTTGTAAACGGTCTAAACGATCGTTTGGGCGAACAGTATTTCACAAACTCAATCTTAGTCTGTCAATATATGGCAGCGCCCAAGCAACAGGTGGTCCCACTTCGAATGGCTTTTTTGCCGAGTTCAGCTTGATAAAAGGAAAAGTTATAGTGGGATGGGCGAAAACCCACCTCCAACTTGTAACACCAAGATTGAATCCAGAGGACAAGATAAGATTTTGTGCAAATGTTAATTGATATCAGTTGGTAGCGCATTAGTTCATACCACAAAGACTATATAAGACCATAAAATATCTCTCGTCAGAACTCATACCGATAGAATGACAAAGGTCATTAAATATCCATTTTATACAAAATTTAAGGCACAGATTATCTGTCCCTGAAACTCTAATACCACTAATGATAAACTTCCTTGCAGTACTAAAGCATGCATTGCCTAATGGAACAAAATTCTGATGATAATAATGTAGAAGCCTAAGGAAGTAAGGAACAAGCATTGGATACATCTGAAGACAGGAATAATATTTGCAATCAATGTACCTTTGTGACAAAGAGGATGGCTGAGCTGGACCCACATAACGCACCCTATCACCTACAGAAGATGTGGAGGAAAAATCATGTTTTGAGAAAAATAAAATTCAATACAATAAGTAATAAAGAATAGCTAACAAAACCTTCTCTGAAAGTATAGCTCTTGGATGTAGCTGTTGACGATTCCTGTTTCGGTAGAGATGCAGAATGCAGAGTGGATGTTCCCACAATATCAGCATTCACACTGGAAGTTGGTGCAGCTGGCCTCCTGAAGTGAACAGTGTCTGCCAACGAAGAACGATGCTTCTGATATATTGCAAACTTCTCGGCAGTTGCCTTATCCCCTGATTTATCAGCCTTCCCAACATCTTTCTGGGATTCTGGATCCTTGGAAGGTGCCTACATGGATTTCTTGTTCAGAATAGGGAAATGGTAATGGAACATGCAATGATTCAAGGTTTCTTAGCTTCTGAATATTCTTTAGCAGTAAATAAATATACATGATGAGCTTACCCCAGGCAGCAAAAGTGAATCCACGACAAGGAGTCTAGCACCAAAATGTTTGGCAAGTGCCTTTACCAATGTTTCCTGATAAATCTCGGAACCTAAATGCATCGCCACAGAAAAATCAGAGGAATACAAGAGCACAAGCACTGGGATAATTATCAAACAAGTATGGTCACTAGCATTATTCGAGAAAAGTATGGCAACTGCCATAACTGAAAGAGGAGGGGGGGGTGCACTCCAGTGCCGGAGGCTCCCACATGAGTGGGGTCTGGGGAAGGGAAAAACTGAGGCTAAGCCTTTCCCCGCAAAAATCTCATGGAGAGACTACTTGAACCCGTGACTGGGTGACTCAGTGAGACAGCTCTCACCACTGCACTAGGCCTGCCCTTCAACTGCCATAACTGAAGGCCTAGTGAAAAAAAAGGGCGTACCCAGTGCAAAGAGCTCCCGCTCTGTGTGGGTCTGGGGAAGGGTGTCAGTGGCAAGCCTTACCCTCGCCTGTGCAATGCGAGAAGACCGCGACTCGAACCCGGGACCTTCCGGTCACAGGCGGTAAGACTCTACCGCTTGCACCAGGCCCGCCCTTCAACTCAAGGCCTAGTGACTCCAGTTTCAATCACTTGGAAAAAGTAAACAACAAAGGAAATACAGGTCTCCAAACAGAGACAAAGTATGGCAACTGCCATAACTCAAGCCCTAGTGACTCCAGGTTAAATCAATTGGAAAAGGTAAACAACAAAGGAAGTACAGGTCTCCAAACAGAGAAAGTAAGTACCTGCTGGACCAGATAACAAAATTCGCTGATTTATTGATGAAATCTCAGCAAACTGCTTGATGAATTCCTTCTTTTCCAAGTGTATGAATGCACATGATAAGAGCACATTCTTTGTATTCTCACTGCATGAGATGAGAACCGATAAATACAAAGATATGGACATGTGACGACTAAAAAGAAATATCATGCTGCATCCCAAGGTTGGTCTGCAGACAGCCCTTACAAGGCTTTAAGAAAAACTCAACCAACCAATTTCTATAATCTAAGAACTAAGCATACACCATTGTTGGCAACCTCAAAACTAACCAAAGAAGAATAGACAAGTTGCCTTAGATTTTTATAATGTAGCATATAAATAACACATGCATATGCAAAACTTCAAATAGACAGCATGATAAGAATCTTGCATAAACAGAATAATGTCAAAGCAGCAAAGGAACACAAATCCAAAGCATATCACCTGAGATAATAAGGAAAATTCTCAAAGGTAACATCAATATCACTTGGATTAATAATTCCTTGTTTCATCCCATCCTTAAAGGCTTGACATCTACTTGGAGGCACACTGGTCGAAGCGTTAAGATCCCTGATGAGATCCCTCTGATCTTCAAGAGCTTTAAAAAGATCACCAGTCAAATCGAACTCGGATATAGTTGATCCTGTAATCATCCTCAGAACTGGCCTTATCTTATAGGTTGCAATCTTACCGATTTCCGCACCAAGATGAGTATCAGGCCCAAAGCCATTTTGTTGACAGGTATCATTCGCAGCAGCATCAGGGGATATGGGGGCTGCAGCGACATCCATTGGAGAGTCTTCAATGTTAGAATTTACCTCATTAGCATTTTCCCCATTCTCAAATTCCTTATCAGGGCTTACAGCACGCCCTTTTGATTTATCAGAAGCAGATGATGCCATTGGCCGCACTACTCTTTGGCTGTTCTCTCTGGCTGCCACGGGAGGTACTGCTGCTACATCCTTCGGCTGATTAGATGTAGATGCCAACATCTCTGTACCAGCTACAGCTGAAGTGTCTCCTGTTCTCTTATCTGTACGGATGCGCTTTACGCTAGCAACGGGAGGTTCTAGAAGGTTAACAGCAGATGATGGCACCGTTTTAGGAACTTTGTCATTCAAAGGATGCTGAAAAATCTATGAGCCGGTAAAGGAAAAACAGGTAACATATATGACATTTCTCCATTCTCAAAGTGCATACTACAGTCATGAAGAAAGAGATGTAACTGAAGAAAAAATGTATGACTGAATGAACCGGAAATGATAAAAGGATACATAAGCATGCTTTCCGCATGAACTGAATATGACTTCATCCCCTCCTGTAAGGGGAACTTTTGTGCCTGGACTTATGGGCCTTCCATTTAATTGGACCATACCCTTCTTCCCTAGAACTTCTAACTCACATGGACCTCCTTGCTGAAAATTAAACATCAAAGCCAATGAAATGCTTGCAGACTAACACTTGAGAATGTTCATGCACTCCGCGGAATGAATATGAACCATAAAAACAAGAACATACCTCAAGGCGCCGCAGCTTGCAAAGCACTTTGCTAACAGGTTGGTCTTTCAGCCACAAATTACAGCTTTTGCTTTGACCAACAGAAAACTGAGCCACACTGATGGGATGGTGAGGAGTCTGTAGTATAAATATGTTTTCTATCAGTATTTACAAATAGAATAATGTTTCATGGATTGTTCTACAATCATTATGAACTGAAATCATAAACATCTACAGAAAAACATGCATGCTAACAAAAACAACCAACAAAGATTGACCTACAAGCTACTTTAAATGTGAGGCCTTGACCAACTACTAAGTAGTTTAAGTAGCACCAATAGATCCAGTGGTGATTGCAAAGGAATTCAAAAGATGCATCCCGTCAAGTAGATACTGATTTCTATAAGTTCAGGATATCAACATTACAGAAAGACATGTCAACAAAGACAAACAACAATGACTTCAATAAGATCGGATTTAGCCTACTAGGTACCCTTAAATATACATATCTACAATACATGTGACTATTTATTAACTGATGACAAAACCTTGAACATATGAATGTGTAGTGAAAACAGGTAACGGCTATGTTGGACAAGTTCCCTACAAGCTACAGAACAGAAAAAAGAAATATCAATGTATCCCAAATCAGATGCCCGTTGAACAGCTAAAAGTAGGCCCTAAATGGAGCTAAGCATCAACCAGGCAATCTGGTACCACGAATTGCAAATTCCCACAATAAAAAGCCTAGGCATAACAAATACTACCAGGAACTAGTATTGATTGCCCCTGTTTCTAACGAGAGAATATACTGACTGAAAGAGCACAAGTAAACAGTATATACGGTAGTTAATATCCCAACCTAGTAAGCCGACTGTTACCCCCTTTTCCCTCCTCCCAAAAGCACCTTTTAGAACGCTGCCTAGCTGTACTCAGAACCAAGCTCTAAACAGCAAGACTAGTAATATTCCATGCTAAATAATCTAGCCAAACAGCAAGATGCTATCCGAAGACCAAAATTTCACCCCTAACACCTTAAAAATTGAATCTTTACAAAGCCCAGCATAAAAATTGCCATCTATAACTTCGATTCCTACAGCATATACACCAAGATTATCCAATAATCGGCTGCTGGAGGGTTGCCGTCAGGTCACCGCACCTGTGAGCACTGCGAGAGCAGCTTCGCCCATAGCGCTGCGGGTTGCTGTTGCTCCCGCTCCTTCCTCCTCTTCGAACTCTCGGCCACGGCGGAAGAAGGCTTATCCGCTCCTTGATCTGCACCAAAGCATCAAAACCCCATGAACTCGATTCCAAACCCGCCCCCACCAAACCCTAGGATCCCAAAACGCCCGAAAGCCGCCCACCTTTCTGCGCCACCGCCGCCACGTCCTCGGCCGAGCCGGTGCTCCTCGCGGGTGCCGCTCCCGCCACGGAATCCTCCTCGGCCCTCCCGGGCGCGGACGCCGTCAGTGACCCTGGGGACTCCACCTGGTCAGGGCCACGGTTCAGATCGGTTAGCCGACAGGTCAAATCGGGAGGCAGCGACGCGAGATTCTTCGATCCGCGTGGGGGTGGCGCTCTCACCTTGGGCCGCTTCGGGGGAGGTACGGACGAAGAGGACGGCGACGGGGACGGGCGCTTCCCGGCGGCCGCGGCGGCGGAGCCCCGGCGAGTCTCCACCATGGCGTGTGCCGGAGGCGAGGGTTTCCTCTCGTCTCGTCACCCCTTCCGCTTGTTTTCCACCCCACCCCTCGAGCGAGAGGAGTTCTTTCGGCTTTTGGGGGTCGTCCTCCGGAAATGGTTTTGTTAAGCTTTTTTTGGGTGTCAACCAGAGGAGGGGAGAGGAGGGGCGTCTTATAAGATTTTTCAGATTTCTTTTTCTTGATGATGCCGTGATGATATATGAGACTATGCCGTTGTTACTATAATAATTTGTTATTATGGAATAAATAACTACAATGCATATTTTGTTACTCTCTCTATTCAAAATTATAAAAAAATTTGGCTTCTCTGCATGGGTAAATTTTGTTACGTACTTAGATATACAATATGTCTAGATACATAGTAAAAATAATGTATCTCGATGATTTAGAACGGAGTGAGAACATAAGTTTGCGTATAAATTTGAATAGCTCAGTGATTAAGTCTCGTAGTTAAGATGTGATCGTATCTTTGGGATTTTAGAAACGTCTTCCATTATATTTTAACTTTTTAATTGAATCCAGCTGTCACGAGTCTATCTCTAGGCTTTCAAAATCACCTATCTTTTGATTTCAATTTTTAATTGGATACAGCTGTAAAATGGTATCTACAATGAACCAACCGCTAAAGTGTTGTATTGCACATATTGGTAACCAATAGACTTATAGCCACGCGTGCCTACCAAATGCACGATCTCCATGTGGCACTTACTTATCAAACCACAAATGTTTAACACGGCGCTACACCAGTAGAGTGAAAATCCATGCACCACCTACCAGTAGAATGATGATCTCGACAAGGCACTTGTCAATAGATAGCTAGATCTTACTAATCGAACAAACTCTATATGTCACTCACCAGCAGGATAAATCATTGCATGACACCTAATAACAATACAAGAATATCTACGCGTCCAGTCAGCTAGGATAGTGAATGATAGATCGATCTCCAAGTAACACTTTCTGTAAAAACAACCTGTATAGCATGTAGAGACAAAATGATCCTCGCATGAGATCCGTCGGCAGAACAAAACTACATACGCCACTTGCTAATGGATTGTTGTATACATGGCACTTGCCAATAGAACGGCCTCCAAGTGGCACTTGCCGACAAACAAACTTTATGTAGTACGTACTAATGGAAAGATCTTTAAGATTTTTTAGATTTTTTTTCCTGCTGCCGAGGTGATATGTGAATTGTACCGTTGTTACTGTAATTTGTTATTATGAATATATAATATATAACTAGGACGTGTATTTAGTTACTCCCGCCGTTCCAAATTACAAGACGTTTGGTTTTTCTACATTCGTAGATTTTGCTATGCACTTGGCTATACAATATGTCTAGATGCATAGTAAAAATAATGTATCTAGAGATTTGGAACGGATGGACATAAGTTTGCGTATAAATTTGAATAGCTTCATGATTAAGCCCCATAGTTAAGATATGATCGAATCTTTGGGATTTTAGAAACGTCGTCCATTAGATTTTAATTTTTTAATTGAATCTAGCTGTCACAAATCTATCTCTAAGCTTTTCAAAATCACCTATCCTTTGATTTCAATTTTTAATTAGATACAACTGTAAAAGGTATCTACAATGAACCAACCTTCAAAGTGTTGTATTGCATATATTGGTAATCGATAGATCTCTAGCCACGCCCGCCAAATGCATGATCTCCATGTGGCATTTATCAAACCACGAATGTTTAACATGGCGCTAACCAGCGGAGTGAGATCCATGCACCACCTACCAGTAGAATGATGATCTCCACATGACACTTGTCAATGGACAGCTAGATCTTACTAATTGAACAAACTCTACGTCACTCGACTGCAGGATAAATCATTGCATGACAATTAACAATACAAGAATATCTACGCGTCCAATCACCTAGGACAGTGAATGACATATCGATCTCCATGCAACACTTACTGTAAGACAACCTATATAGCATGTAGAGACAAAATGATCCTCGTGTGAGATCCGCAGACAGAACAAAACTACATAAGCCACTTGTGAATGGATTGATCTATACATAGCACTTGCCAATAGAACGACCTCCAAGTGGCACCTGCCAACAAACAAACTTTTATGTAGTACGTGCTAATGGAAAGATCTTTACCTATAGCCAACCAATAGAATCAACTCCATAAGACACATAATTAACAATGGACGATCTCTACTTGATCTTGAGGTAATTAAAGTGCATCTAGACCTCCTAGTAGGTTTTGGTGGTTAAATGGCAGAGCAATTAAAGGACTAATGAGTTTGGTGTGCCTTGGATATGTTTCATTGCAAATAATAGTATCAAACCCTTGTCATTTCTCAAATTGAAGAAAGGGGGAGCAAACATAAAAGGCAAAAGAGACAAGGTTACAATGGCTATTAATTAGACCCAATGGTGGCTTGTTTGCATGAATGAAAAAGGTTGATGTTCATTGGTATTGCTGATCAATATTGAAGGATGAGTCGTTAGTCCATAATTAAAGAAATGGCAATGCAAGAAAACACAAGTGACAAATGGGGCAATATGAAATTCATATGGTTTGGTATTAAAGATATCTTGCTCGCATAGACAAAGGGATTTTGAAAATGCATTGATATTGATCAAGCTAGAAGCAATATGAAAGAGATGATCAAGAGCAATGGGAAACACAAAGAGAGATTGTGAAGGTTGCTTGCTTGGTTATTATCAATCAATAAAAAGAAAGATGAACAAGGACTTATCAATTCAAAAAATCAACAAGGAAGCTTGTTTGATAGAAGCAAATATTTAACCAAAAAACATTTTATATATAAATATAATACGAGTGATTTCTTATTGTTGATACGAGACAAGATTGACTTGATGATGAAAAAAATAAGGCGAAGATAGCAAGGAAATAGATTGCAGGATTTAAGCTAAGGTGAAGACAACCAATGATTTGGCGATCAAGGTACCATGGCTAAGGTTAGTTCCTAATTTGATTTGTTCATTCTACTCGATTTGCATGGTTATGTGTGTTTGTGGAATTGCTAATTGTAATATAAAGAACCACATCTCTAAGGTTGGTTTCAGCTAGAATTCACTGGGCGTAATTTACACTCGTGTTTGTTGTGTACTTGTTGAATATCCATAAAAGTGTGGATAGTCTGCTTAAATATATGCCAAAGTGTAGATAGTTTGATTATCCATAAAAGTGAGGAAAATCTGCTTCAATATCCGTAGAAGTGTGGGTAATCCATGCAATGCTTAAATAATCTGCAAAAAATATTACTAGTCTGTTACAATTTTGTGCTTGAATTTTCAAAGAACACCTATTCACCCACCTCAATGTGACATCTTGGGCCCTTCAATATGTTTTTTCGAGACTAGTTGCTCGCTTCCATTCCTTAAAACCATTAAGCAACCTCTTTGAAGTAAGCTTGAGTCTGCAGTTTTTTGATAGACTCTACTTGTCATAAAAAGATGTTTTCTTAGTACTACAAATTCAATATTTTTATAAATACAATAGTAAATAAAACCGTTCAATACACAAAATGTTGATTATTCTATTATCAAAGATGGTCATTCCATTGAAGTAATTTTATAATAAAAATGGGCATGTCTCCTTACAAGTTATCTTGGTCCTGCTTACGCACAAGATACTTTTTGCACCCTTGTGTATAGACCCATCAACCTCCAGATATAACAATTTTATTTATATGATAATTTTGTTTTTATTCTATTGGGATAAATGGCATGCATGTTTCCTCTATAATATTCTTTTTAAGCTGGAACCTTTTTCTCTAGGGCATTTTTCTACCGACGTCAATTTTTTTTGTTACCCTAAAAAGTTTACTACCCATAAAAAGGTAGAGTGACTTAAACATAAGTAAGATCTAAGTCACTTTAAAAGCAGAAAATTGGTTTATGCCTATAACCGAGAAAAAAAGAGAAATTTATAGTTTTTTGGTAGGTTCAATTTAACATGGAATCTATTTAGCAGACAAGTCATGACTAAGAAGTACATTTTAGGATATAATTGTTGCAGAGTACTCCTATGTTCCAATCATTTGCACTCACTCCTACAGTGTAACTCACACATGGACATGGGTATGGGTGTATGCATAGATCCCCTGATGAAGAGATGATATTACGTACAAGCACTTTCTTTGCAGCTGCACATGTGCATAACTGCATATATAATTAAAAATGGCAAGTTTCTACAAGTATACAAATGTCTTGATAGGTGTGAAATAAAAAAAGTATCTTGTGGGTGCCTAACAATTATCTGAAGATGCCTTTTCATCCTCGCGGCAGTACCTGAATATGGCAAGGTCAACGATCCTCTTGATTGCACTTGCTTCATCTTTGTTTGTGGTGTGAGCTGTCACACAGCTTTAGACACTGACTTTTTTGCACACCAGCCCTCCATACGACACATAGTAGCATAACCACCCTCTAGTGGGTACAAACATATCCAATATATAGATATGGTTACAAGTAGACATACCTTTTTTCAAATCCGTTTTCCAATATGGATGGTGTCATCTATCTACGACAAGATATGAATGGCGTCGATATTATATTTGTACTCCCTCCTGTTGTAATATAAAGGATGATCCAACAGATAAAATAAGGAGTCCTCTAAGATGGAAGATACAAGAAAGAAGAAGTTTCTTAACTCCTCCTGCAGGGATGTTGGCTGTCGTTCGTTGAGCATCTGTTCTCAGGCCTGTTGCCGAGTATTTGCCTGTGCAGTCATCCATACGAAGCGTCAAATATGTTTGGTTTTTGAAATCTGTAGCTTTTTCACAACGTGGGTACAATTTAGATGAAAATCAGTTTCTGGATATATGTAGTGTATTTTAGAGTGCTTGTAATGTGTTGATGTACCCAGTTATTATCTAATATAATTCTTCTTTCGTCGAAAAAATAATTAGGATAGAAAGAGTAGTTCAGTTGTTACTTTCCTTAATTAATGTTGTTTGTTATTCTATCAAAAAATTAATGTTGTTTGTTTGGGCGATACCAAGTTTAAAAAGAATCTCAGTATTTCTTGCCAAGAAAGATAGAGGAGAGAGGAGGTTAATGATTAAAATACCTTATTTTTGGTGAAAATTTTGAACTCTAAATCCTTTATATTATAGGACAGGGACTATGATCTAATAAGTATCAAATAGATTTAATTTGGTATTAGACATTGAATATCAATACTCAAATACAGATAGGTCTAATATCTCAATAGGAACCGAATGAGTACACATGGATTTGATCTCTAAGGGCATATTTGTTCCCCGCACGTCGATCTGATCCCTGCATTGGGCCGTGCGTATAGATTTCTAAAGAGAACGATATTAGAACAACTCTAGTAGAGCCGCTACTCGAGTCATCAAAACCAAATTTAAGGGTTGGAGCAAAAAAAAATGAGCTCATAGAGCCCTCAAATTGGAGGGCCCCCTCAAATCTCTCACTGGGCCCTCGTTCCTTGAGGGTTTGGAGGGAGCCCCTGCTTTACTATTGGGGTCGTTGAAAGCCCGCGCCCGTACGGGTCCGTCCCTCGCGTCGTCCGGGAGCAACGCTTCGTCACCGTCGACCTTCCTCTTGCACCCACAACACTATCCCGTGGCGTCAGCCACCATCTCGACACCCACAGCGACAACCACCATCGCAATGCCCCTCCACCCAAATTCGGCGGGCACTCCCTCCCAGCGTGCGGCTATCTCCAACGATGATCTTCCTTCCGTTGGTGTCACACTTCGCACCCTCCTCCGACGAGTGCATCCTTGCGCGTCCGCTGCTTGCCGCGAGTTATGGGCGCCTCCACCTCTTCCCCACGCCTCTTCGCACGAGTCATGAGCGCCTCCGTCTCTTCCCGTGAGTCGTGAGGCAAGCCCCGACAAGCGGATATCATCCTCTTGCCTCTTCTCCACATGTATAGCTAGTTGATAGAGCATAGAGAATGTAAGCAGACCCCTTGTGTCGGTATATATCAAAAGGGATTTGTGGGCTCTTGCTAGAGCAGATACAAAGAATTAGATCCTAAAATGAGGGGAACCCTCAAATCAAAAGTAGAGGCCCTGATTTGAGGACTCGAGCTAAAATTACTCTTAGGTTCCTCACATGTGTTGTTTGAGCCTAGCTCTGTTGGTGCAAAATATAGGGACATCCTACATTTGCTCGTATGTGACCAAATTGGCGGCCTTCATTGTTAAGGACGGCCCAGCGGATGCTCGTTGTACTATAGACCATCCCAAATAACATCTCAGTTTTTTTTTTCTTCCGCTTATGCGACCTCACCAAACATTTTATCCAAAAATACGATTCCACTTGTATGCTTCCTCTCCCCTCGTCCAGGATATACTATGCAATTCCATCCTCCAATCAAACACACCGTACCATTTTGAACCCTATCTTCACGTACCAAGTGGCAAGTGGTGGACAGCTCGAGTGAGTTCAATCTCTCTGTAAATTCTCAAAAAAAAAGTTCAATCTCTCTGTTTTTTTTTGGAGTTCTTAGGCAGTGCGGTGGATTGAAAAAGCTTATGATTTCATCATCCGACTCTGCATATATGCATGTGCCAGAGAGAGAGAGCACGTTGACCTTAGGCATGACATGGCAATGTGCACTGCACCATGCATGCCCCATATAATATACAGTAGCTAGTAAAATAAAAGATTGGAAAATTTTGAGAAAGAAGGATGTTCCTCAAATAATCCACATCTGCATAGTCATAGGAGGACGAGAGAGCGACAGGGCGTTGTGTGGTGTGCGTGCGTGAGTTATCAGCAAGATCATGAACCTTCAGCTACAGCGACTGGTTAGTTGCTCTCAAGCAAATTAGCAACCATCCATGTACAGAGGAGTATATATCTCATTAACAGCTTGAAAAAGCTACGAGAGCGAGCCCTGGTACAGTTCTCGTCTGCGCAAGGGAAAAAGGGACCGGTCTCTTTTTCCTCATCTACCCCGTAATTAATAAGATAATTATCTTAGGTTTTGTCAAAGAATTAAAATGCCTTTTTTTTGTTTACCTTGGTCTTTTCATTAGGATTTAATTAACAAATCTTGTTATGTATTTTCTCTATTAGATATAGATATTAATATAGATTAGGTAGTACAGATATAAATATAGATACATAACAAATCTATGCATGAACTATATATTTATATATATATGTACTTCCTAATCTTATATTAATACCTATATCTAATAGAGAAACTATATAACAAATCTATACATAATCTATATCTATACTATCTAATCTATATCGATATATATCTTATATACCTAATATTAAAGACCAAAAATATCTTTGTTCCATCTCTCACTGTCCCCATCACTCCGTCCCTCACTCCTCCTCTGTTCCTCACGGTACAGTCATATAATTGAATCGATTATAAGTAGAAACAAACAGGGTCAATGTCTTATCAATTTTTCATATGGAATTAATCCTTTATTACACTAGCATTTACTATCGGCCTTGGTGCATATTTGATTTAAGGTTGAGCCAAGCCCAATTAAATCTAACAAAACAGCTAGCATATTACCATTGGCACGAGCACCATGACACAAATTGTACATCGCAACACATGGACAAGTTGACTAGTGTATATAAAAATATTAATATTTATGAGGTGTAATAAATATCATTAGATTAATCCATGGAATATGTTTTTATAATAAATTTATTTAAAAATACAAATATTAATGCTATCTTATAGATCTAATTAAATTTGGGGTTGTCTCGAAAGTGAGATTTCAATTCTTTTTTTGATGGACAACTGACAAGAAATTTGTCGAGAGCATATACTAATAGAGAAGAAGTAGATACATGAACAACAAGTGGTGGATGACGACGTGCGGTGGCGTTGGTGGGTTCGTTGCCATTGCAAGAACAAGGTGTGGGTTTCGGGTACGGGAAAAAGGTATGGGTTTCGGGTACGAGAATTTTGAGCAAAAGCTCTATTTGGCTTTCTGCCATGTCAGCATTGGTGACACCTTTGTGGCCAGACTCCTTGTTGTAGGCCTTGTCACGAGGTGTGTAGACCCATATCCTATTTGAAAAACCTAGGTTCTCTGATCGATAGCGGCATCTGCACCGCTTACCTCATTAGAGGGCATCGCAGTGGAGAACCCCGCCCCATATCTTTGATGTGACTTTGCAGGGAGTGCTTTGGTGTACTATTTTGTTTTTTGAACTCCATGTACTGTTTCTTTTTTGGGTGTTTATCTTGACTGACGTAGCTTCATTTCGTGAGATTTCATTTTTTTTAAGAATGGAGCAAATATGCGGATGGGCACATAGCCCAGCGGTTAAGCCTGCAAGGGAGGAGCCGGCCGGTGGGGTTCGAACCCCTGTTCCGCACCAGGCCTCCAAAGAAGGCCGCGCCAAGGTGGCGCCATTCAAAAAAAAAAAAAACAAAAAGAATGGAGCAAATATGCGGCAAAGCATATATCTAAGCCGGGCCAGGCCTCGAGCAAGAGAAAAAGTATTTAGGCCTTGGTCAAGAGAGAGAAAAAAAAGAAAGAGATACCAAGGAAATATGCACGTGGGAAGGAGAGGGACCGAGTGAGGGCTCGGACGAAGGTTTAAAGTTGTTTTTATTATTCTCAAAAAATGTATTTTTTTGGTAATAAAAATGGAAGCTCCCAAGTGCGGCCTAGATAGCGTCACAGCAATAGCAGCCTGGGTTAGTGGCCCACGAACTCCAATGCTCACGTCTCCACTCGTTGACTCGTGCACGGCGGCCCCATTCCCCTTCTCTCCCAAGTCCAACTCCCAAGCAGCTGCCAGGCCGTCGCCAGTTAACGTCGAGCAGCCGCCCGTCGGCCCTGCGGCTGAGCCTGCGGCTGCGCCCTAGCTCGCCCCCGGCACCCGAACAGCAACCTCCCTCTCCTGTCTCCTCCAGTGCCGTGCCCCTCAGGGCTCAGGCCATGACCAAAGGGCAAACTCAGCCCCGCCAGATCCCGTCAGCGGCGCGGAGGAGCGATGGTGGCAGCCGGAACGACGGCAGCGGCGTGGAGGGACGCAGGGGCGGCGCAGCCGCGGACTCGCTCAGGTCAGAACTTGCAGGCTGATGGTCGGGAGCGGGCCGAGCAGAAGGCTTCGGGTATTTTGTCCCAACCGAACCTGACCCGACCCATCCCTCATTTCTGAATTTGTTTAATTGATTGATTGAAACTAGGTGGGCTTGGGGTCAACGGACGCCACGCGGTGGATGTACCCTACCTTTTATTCGATCGGAATCCGATCGATCATCTTCTGCGAAGTTTCGATCAACGCGGTCTCCCTGGTGGCTGCCTTTACAATGATTTGTCGGCCTGTTGGGGATCGGGCTAAAACGGATACTATACGAGTGCCCAAACTTCTTCAGCCGGTGGTTTACTCTGCTCTAGCTTGTAAGTTCTCAGCGTTGTTTGCAATATACCGTAGACTGTTCAGTTTGTATCCTGTCTGATTGAGGAAAACAATATTTAGGAATCGTAGCTTCATCTCTTCTCTACAAGCACGGCGACCACGTAATAAAGGTAAAAAAGTTGCAAAAAGGTTAAGAGTTTCATCTCCACACTACTGTTTCTCATCTTGCATCAGCTTTTATCTTGTCCACAGGTGCATAGAGGAGGCAGCACTGAGTACATGATCGATGGCACTATGGAACGGTCTCAGCCAGGCTGCCACCGTCGCACAGCTGGCTGGAGTCGACGCTGGTGGCCTCATCACCATGATTGTCCAGGCAGTGCAAACTGTTCGCCGGAACAGGGAGGAGTGCCAACACCTCATGCACCATGTCATGATGATCGGAGATCTCCTACAAATGCTTCAGCAGTCAGAGACGATGCAGCGCCCAGAGATCCGGAGACCGCTGGACGGATTGGAAGACACACTCCGGCAGGCGTACACGCTAGTCGTGTCCTGCCAGCAGAGCAACACCATGTATCGCTTCCTCATGGCAGGAACGCAAGCTCAGAAGTTCCGTGACATCCGAGATAGAATTGATTCATATCTCCGGCTCTACCCTTTGGTCAGCCACATCGACACAAGAGAGTTCATAACTAGACTTTACAGCCGTGCACATCCTTCCCAACCACAGGTATAAATGTTGAAGTAGTTGTATCATAACTTAGTGTCTGCACTATTGTTCCTGCGGTTTTAGGACTTTCTCTTGTTGAAGCTGGTGAGTCCTTGACTCAAGGACCACTTCCTTGTACTGCTGTACATGCCCACCGTAGGTTTTATACTATACTATGAAAATACTTCAATGGAATCTCTGTGTTTCATTAATGTGAATGCTTATACTGAAGGGATTCTATCAAAAGTTTGAAAAAACTGATAGGAGTCAAGTTGGGATTTGTTTGTCATCATATTCCTCATATGAGATTCAGGTTGCCATTTCAAGCAGCAGATGAGATGTTTGGGGTTGTTTGCCTCAGATTGAAGCATTAGGTGTCCCTCAACAGAGTTAGCATGAAATTTGGTCCTTAGTAAATTGAGGCAAAACTAAGCATAGGAGTGTTACATTTTATTTATTAATCAATTAATATGCAGAGGAATATGACCATATATGAATTTTTACATACTTCTTGTCTAATTTGCGTCAACAGGTCTACTTGAACGTTTAAGGATCCAACCTGAACAAAATGCATTTTTGCTTGAAGCTAGAACAAATAAATGTTTTATTTATCCTACCTCACATTGTCATCATTCATTCACATAATTACAGCCAACTCCTGGTTCTTCTATATTGTCAATTATTCTAAAATCCTAAGATGCTTTGTCATTTCAGGCTTCAGAAGAGGCGCTGAGTCATCTGGGAGCCATGTCAACCCTGACTCCCGGTACAGTGTCCACAATACCAAGTTTTCTCCTTTATTTTGTGATCATATCCCACATTTGTCCCTACATTTTACATTGCTTGATGTGTTGGCATAGTAAGAGGAAGTTTCTTTAAGCAATGTAAATGTCATTCATTTACTTGTCTAGTAACCAATGTGTACCGTACATTTCGTATCTGCTTTAGTAAGATGGTGTCTGTTGGATTGGGAAGAATTTAGGGTAATTGTAAATTTGCCAACTTTAATTGTTACTGCAATCTTGCCCTAAAATTTGCAAACATGCCAACAGAAATGCCTTTTGTTTGGCATTATTGCAAAAAAAAAAAGTGGGCAATTTGGCAAATGCCCCTATTCTTTATGTCTTATGGGAACTAGATTCTTGTTAAACTTAACTGTTAACTAACGATTAGTTATGACTTGTGATAGATTAGAGGACAGCTGTAGAAACATGTTACAGATCACATATCGTTGTTTCTATACCTTGATAACTGTAATAGACGTGTCCCAGAAAACAATTTGCCAAATTATTTTATTTTAAAGGCTTTGTTGTTGTTGTTGTTGTTGAAAATTTATTAGCTTTTAGTGTTTAATAGCATGACAGTTTCAGGACCCATGGAAGTGCCTCTGATTACCATGGCATTGAACCAGTAGGAGTTACAGCAGTAACTGAGTCATCTGTGTTGGAAGAACAACAAACAAATGGTATTTCCTTTAACGATGCTTATGAGCATGACAGATCTAGAAAGTAAAACCATATACTCTAAATTACCAGATCAACCTCCAAATTATATTGTTATGTGTTATTTCCTTTCACAGTGAAAATTGAATTATTCATTTTTATCTGCTATTTCTCGCTAGCATCGATATATCATAGTTACATCAATTATTTGTAGGCTATGACAATGCTGAAGTGTTGCCAAATACGAGGCATCGGTTTAGGTGGCCTTTTCATTGGGCTCGAAGGGAGACAACGACGCTTGAATACCTCCAGAGGCTCCTTGGTCATGAACAAGCAGGTAGCCTGCAAGAAACATGAAGCACTTATCACTAAATTGCATCAATCGTAATTGTCATGCATCTTTTGAAGTAAAAATTAAACCACAGTTATCATGTACTTCTACAATGCAAATAATAGAAAGGCATTCCCTACTTGTACTATGCAAACATGTACCACTGGTTTTGAATCTTAATTGTTTCTGACACTTTGAATTTCCTTTTTGCCATTGGCTCTCTCTGTGAAACAAGGTTGTAAACCCCATCCGCCAAAGGGGATGAGCTTTTAATAACTAGCAAGATGAAAATTACCCAAAGTGAAATAAGTGCTCAGTATTCCTGCTGCATTACCAGGTGAGAAGAAAGAAATGTACTGAGCAATGTTTCTTGCTGGTTCTTTTCCAGGAGGGCTTACGGCTTTCAAGTTCTCCGAGCTGGCTAGATCTACAAATAATTTCTCATCTAACAATATAATTGGAAGTGGTGGTTTTGGTAATGTTTACAAGGTATCTTACATGCTTTTATTTTGTTCTTATAATTATGAAAAAGACTTTTTTTTCTATATTCATGTTGAAGATGTTAAAATGGTCTTGGCATAATCAAGATCTTGCTTAAGCCTAAACATGACCACTAACATATACTCAGTGTGGAAATTAGAGGCTTAAATACTTTTGAATGCCATTAGTGCCTTTGTAGCAGATGCTGATGTAGGTGTAATGGTCTTCACCAAACTTTAGAACTCTCTGTTGATGTTCCAGTGTAGATTTGTCCTCCAAGGCATGACCTCCTACCCTTGATGTGAAATCAAGCTTCCAAACCTTCCAGAGCCCTAATTGACCGGTTGTAGATGTAGATTGGCATGCTAATCATATTTAGGTTGTAAGCCACCTCTTATTTATAGGTGTGGGGGATATACCCCGGGTACCACAAGATGGTACATGGGCCGCACCATCCGAGGTGGCCCGGCCCGTAAGATCAAGGCGTACATGGCAAGATTACAAGTTGTACTAGATATTGTAAATAGTACCAAATAGGATACTTTACTTGTAACCCTCCTCCTCCAGAGTATATAAGGAGAGGCAGGGGTCCCCTAGCGGGGGAGGTTAATCTGTATACATCTCAATACAATACACCAAAGACACAGGACGTAGGGTATTACGTCGACCAGACGGCCCGAAACTGTCTAAATCGCTGTCTCTGCGCCTTGTGTCACCATCTGGTTCCTGATTACATGCACCGTCTACCGATAATCTACCACCATGGGCGACCCCCTCGGTGGACTGCCGACCATATTTCGTCGACAATAGGCTTTGTGGAACTGGGGTTGACTCCTAGATGCCTTTGGGTTACAGCTAATCATGGTGAACTAATCTAAACAGATTATAGGCACTTATTCGTGGACCTAAACTCATCTGCCTTGTCGTTGGACATAGTTTTTGGCTGAGATCATATAACAACATTTTCCCACTTGATCAAACAGATGACAACTTTATGCTCGCATTAACTTATGTTCAGATCAATGCGTAGTTAGTAGCATTTTTTTGCTATGAGGACTCCTATTATCCATAGTTCCCTGCAATACCTAGTTAGAACACTTGTTTACTTATTAGGAGTTGATGATATGGCCTGTACCCAGGATCATTAAAACCCATATTGATTTATGCGCTTCTAAATGGAATGACTGGTAAGCCTTAGAGCAACTCCACGAGATCTCTTATATTGCATCTCCTATAAGTTATTTTTGTATAGTCCCTTAAAAATCAATTTAGAATATAGGAGAGCACTGCTCTAGATTACCTAAAACTTGTCTCTGTTTGTTTAGGGTATGGGATAGGTAGTTGTCTCCTTTATTTAGGAGAAAGGAGGTTATTTTTAGGAGACCTCTTAAAAATGGTATCAGAGATGAGATAGGAGATCTGCTGCAGTGCCTCCATCTCCTAAAATGCTAGTTTTAAGGTATAGGAGAATCGATAGGATATCTGGTGAGCTTGATGACATTTCATTCCCTTTCAATATCGCAAGAATCTATAGCACCTTTCTAGTCGATCTTTTCTAGATTAAATTGATGTTTTGCCAAGTATTCTTAATGCAATGATACGTAGTTCTCCTGCGTGTGTGAGAAAAAAAGATGTTTTACCAAGTATCCCGATTTGTAAATACCAAGTCAAGACTAGTATAGAATATTTGTTCATATAATGAAGTTCTAAACCATAGAGAGCTATGAGCTTAGCTTTAATCTTTCAATATTGTCCATTAAGAGTTATAGACCTATTTATATCCTACTGTTTTGACTCCATTAGGATTTCTATTAATGCCCATTCTTTATTTATGCTTATAGACTTAACTTAATAGACTCAATATGCTCGGCTGAGTTTCATCTGATATTTTCACCAGTGGTAATTTTCTTATAGGTTAATTAGTAGTCACAATGGATTGGGTAACAATCGAGGCTCTTTAATTGTGCCTCAAAATCAACTAATTATTAGTTGGTACATTTTCCTATTGTGGTTCCTTAATTGACTCATTAGAATCTTCAATAGAAATTGTACTAGTTTAAACGGAGTTATACAAACTTGTGGCACAAGATAAGACGTTAAAAGTTTTCTTGAATCACTGGTACAAGAAACTAATCATGCATATCTTCAAGATTTATACTACTTTAGGAACGTAATCTATTTTATCTTAACAACTAAGCAAAACAATAAGAAGACATCATCAAACTAAGACAGAAGCTACTCGCTGAATCTAATGTAAAGCTCCAATATATTGGACTCAACTTTATTTCCATCAGCGCTTTCATCTTTAGACTTCGTCCCCTCTTTCTTATGGTTTGGCATTACCTGTAGGAAAATTGGAAATATGTATAATTGCACCTGAGTCAGTCCACCATATTTTTTTTTCTCAAACAACATAGGAAAACTATGTGTCATTTCATTTAGTAAAGAAAAAAAAACCAAAGGAGAGGCAGAGCCAACTCCCCTAGGCCACTTAGTACAAGACTAATTGCGCTACACACACAGTTCTCTCCTAGGACACCTATTAGGAGAATTGAATTTAAGGGAAAACTAATGAGGCAACTTTTATTACCCTTCTTTTGAAACCATTCTTTAAACTTAGCACATGATTGTTGTTTCTTCTTATTAAAAAAATTCTTTCTTTTTTAAATTCAGGTATAAGACCATTGACTTAAATGAGTAAATTTTTCTTAATACCTACTTTTTCAAATATTTGATTGCCTTGTAACAACATGATGGAAAATTCCTACTGTCTTTGTATAGCCAATATTTGTTCTATAGTACCTTTTAGAAACAGGATGCTAATGAATTCAACAATATTCCTTTTAGAAACAAGATGCTAATGACTTTGATTACTCAAACTATGAAGCTTAACAGAATGATAGCCACATGTGAATTACATTAATAGACTTATTAATAGATGTAACTCTATATCCTTTTTTCCAAACACGCAGGGGAGCTATGTATCATTGCATTAAGAAGAAGTTGAACAGGGTTGAAGAAACCCTAACAAACCCACACAAAACATGTGTCCGGAAGCACATGCACTCCACACTAGCTTAATTAAAAAACTAAAACTCAAAAAATCAGGAGAGAACGACCCTAGACCAGACAGACAAAAAACAAATCATCGTGTTTCTTCTTTGCTAGCATGGGACTGGAAACAGAATGGTAGTCAATGTTGTATAATAGAGACCATGCTGATCACAAAATGAAGAGTAGTAAATAGAATAGAAGCTGAATTTGAAAACAACGGGGTAGGGTTTACTAATTTTATATAGATGTAACTGATAAGTTATGGACTGCAGAGGCGCTTACTTAGCTGAAGAAAATTATTTGTCAACGCTTTTAGTCACAGAGGAGCCTATTTATAAAATTCTTTGTTCCTTCGCACAATTCTTTTTAGCATGTTTTTTTCTAGTATGAAAACAGATTCACATTATTTATAGCCTTGGCACTAAATTTCTTTAATAAACCCTATAAAGATGGATATGCGTTTAGAGATACCATAGAGATAATCTTCGTATGATAAGAACATGATCGGCAGTTGCATCTCTGCAGAGGGGCCGTTGTATTATTTATACAATATACACACTCAATTATTGAGTATTTACATTTTAAGCACTGACAAAAAAGAATGCTTGTGACAGACATGTTTTTTCTGAAGGAGAGAACACCTCATTATATGTTTCTGCCTCATTTCCTAGTTTGGTTTCAGAGCAAAACATACTCAGTTCAATTCTGTTCCAAGTTTGAGTCGTATCTTATTACTCTTTGGTCTTATTTTGTGATCATTGTACTTCCTGTTTTGAAGACCTTTGCACAGTTATTTTGATTAATTACTAATATATAAAAGCCCCTCCCTACTGTTGTCCTAAAAAAGAAAGTAACATGCATTTCATTATAGCGTCTTCGTTATGTTTGTAGAGAGCAGCGATAAAATCATTTCACACCAACCTATACTGTTTGAGAGACCACTCAAAGTTATCTTTGCTGTTTTCCTAGCCACTTAGTTGTTTGCTGCTTATTATTGTTTTTTCATTGTCCTTTTTTCATTTTTATTATGCAATATCTGTTTAAGTTAAATCTTTTTATACAAAAAAATGCTTCATATACATGATCTTCATTGGTTAAACGCCTCAATAAAATAGATGAGTTAATCATATTTGTACTTGTTTTCCTCCTCAGGGCATATTGCCAAGTGGGGTTTGTGTTGCAGTAAAAACCCTAAGTAAACATTCCAATCAGGGCACACGTGAGTTTGAAAATGAGGTTTATATTATCTCAAGACTCCAGCATGCAAATATAGTTAAACTTCTGGGATGCTGCATTGAAGGGGACAATCGAATTTTAGTCTATGAATATATGGCAAGAGGAAATTTACACTATATAATTCATGGTACAACTTGCCTCAGTGATTTCCTTGAGTTACAGTTCATTCACATTTGCTGTCTTAATTTGCCCTGTCAAAATGCTTTCATTGTTGCAGAGCTGAGAGCTGGTGTCTCGCTTGCCTGGCCTATACGATTTAGGATAGTTGAAGGTATTGTCCAAGGTGCTTGTTATCTACACCAACACTCCCGACTACGAGTAATTCATGGGGATCTAAAACCAAAGAATATTCTCTTGGATTGTGATATGACCCCTAGGATTGGTGATTTTGGATTGTCTGTAGTCTTAAGTTCAGATGAAGATGAGCAAGAGACTATGCCAGCCGGGACTCTGTAAGTGTACATCTAATGCTCTAGTCGACCATGAAGCTACCAATGACAATGTAAAGGGTGCATCTAACGCACATAATGTTTTTGGTCTTGCAGTGGTTACGTGGACCCTGTGTTTATGCACACAGGCATTATCTCAATCAAGAGTGATGTGTATGTCTTTGGTGTCAATTTTCTCGAGATAATCACTGCACAACATGCTACGATAGAAACCCCCTTGCCTGTTTATGTAAGTATACACTTGATGTATGTAAGATTGTGACCTTAGCGTGCAATAGTGCTTCTAGCCAATATCTCTTAGTATGTACTAGTGCCACAGTGAAAACACCTTCCCTGCGTTAGAATACACCTCAGTTTACTATTCATTTCTATTTTATATGCTTCCCATTTTATCAGTAACATTTATTTTGACTGCTAGATTTTTTTTTCATTTGAGACGAGAACTTTTGCAGGCTTGGGATTTATGGTCTTCCGGAAGAGCAATGGAACTGATAGATTTATGGTCTTCACTGCACGATGAGCCCCAAATGAACTCTATACTTCGATGCATTCAGATAGCACTGCTGTGTGTTCAACGGAACTGGGCAGACAGGCCCACCATGGCAGATGTTCTGTTGATGCTGAAATGTGAGACTATGACCTTACCTGTCCCTGGGCCTCCTGCAGCACATACATCAGGGCCAGTATTATCGGGTGGATCAGCAAATACCAGTGGAACAGCAAGCAGTACAACCTATGCAAGTGCAGAGTCTGACGACTGAAGAAGAAGAGGATACCTCATACAGTCATACTTCAGCTAAGTGTTTTAGATAAATCTTATACTCCTAGGAGTACATAAATAGTCCATGAGGCTCAATCTATAAATCGACCACATTAAACCAATTCTATTATTTTTTCTATATGGTATCCCAAGTTCAGGTTCGCATCGTGAGACTTAATGGGATTAAAACGAATCACACCTAGATCGATTAAGTAGCTCTTGGGTATACCATCATTGGAGGAAGTAATGGTCATGGGATCTAATATAGCGCTGATGACAACGTGTCCGCTTGGACACCATAGAAGTAAGGTGGTACCGGCATCCGTGTTGGTACGGAGAAGTTGTCGAGGCACCAGCCTTCCTGAGCACACAGAGAGAATCAGACTGTGTTGGTTGGGGAGTAGTTAACATCACTGGAACGATAGTTCCACATAAAGACGAAGCGGCCCCTTTTATTATCCAAAACCATCACGTACGATTACCAATTGAACGGGGGAGACGCAACGAGTCAGATAGAGCTAGAGAGATAAAACGTATGAGTTTGTACTCAGGGCACAGCGCATGCACGAACGCTCACTCAAGTGACTGTTAAAAGGTGTTAATGAGGTCTTGTTTCGATCCACCCAATTAATAGTTAGCTACTAAAATTTAGATGTCGATTCAAACATACCCAGCAAAAAACATAAACTAAGGGTCTCCTTGAGCACTTTCTCCATGATAATCATTTCTACTCACCAAATAGCAAAAACACATTATGGTGGAGACCAGACAAGAATCACTTCTCTATTCTAACCTAGGAGAACCCGCTCCTCACTGCTGCCTATTCAATCCCTACCAAGAATCACGTCCCACCGGCTAACTAAACAATTGTGTGTGTGTGTTGTGGACATGCATGTCGGCCTGTTCGCTGGTTGGTTTCTGGGCTGGTTTGAGCTGAATGGTGCTGGTTTATTGTGAGAGAAAAACACTGTTGGCTGGCTGGTTTGGGCTGACTGAAACCAACAAGCGAATAGGGTGATGTACAATACCTTAATCTTAGTATCACTAATAATCAACAGAAATGCTATATCACACCCATGTGTTTTAGAGCAATCCAACACATGATTTTAAGGCCGTCTGATCTTCCCCAGCTCCAGCACGCCTTCTTCCGATCTGTGCCCGCGCCACCACTGTGGCCTCGCCGCGCCGTGCCCGTGCCCGTGCCCGTGCCCGCCCATGCCCGCGCCACCGCTGTGCCCGTGCCCGCGCCGCCGTGATTTGTTGCTTGTGATTTGTGCCGACACAGCCGCGATTTGTCCTCATCCTTTCATAGAAAAAAAATGTTTGTTGTGATCTGAGATTTGTGATTTGTTGTTGCTTGTGATTTATGCCGACATAGCCGCGGCCAAAGGCGGGGCGGCCGACGGCGGCAGGGGCGAGTTTGTGCAGTGTGTTTGGAGGTAGAAGAAGGCTGGAGGCTGAAGGTAGAAGAAGGCTAGAGGCCATTGGATCTTCATCCTACGGTTCAAAAAAAACCATGTGTTAAAACCGCATAAAATATATGGTTATGCAGTAGACAGACTCCCACGTTAATCCTCACAAGACACTAGAAAATATATCAGCCTGTTGATTCGGTAGACTCTAACCATCTTTCTGAATATTGTTATTAGACCTATTTTGTTTACTAAAATGTCACAAACTTATGTCATTAATATAGTCTGAGGGATATGGTTACAATAGATCCAATTGGTTTACAGATATTTTTCCTAGTCGGTTACTTACATGGAAAGCATAACAAAATAATCTACTGTATCTCTGTAGGAGCCAGCATCCAAATCTTCCTTGTAGGTTTTTTTGTCCACCAAGTCTAACGACATATCCTAATTCTGGCGGGCCTCATCATTGTTATATTTTGTTCTTTGATCCATGCTTTGCTCAAAGGTTTTTGATCTAAGGAACAAATATGTTTTTATTGCAGACAGGACATATAACTTACTCCAAAATGAGAAATAACTATGAGGCACGGAGGCTGTATGACAGAATTTTCAATTCTAAACTTAATTAATCTTGAATGCCGAAACTGTTGTGGAGTTTTTCTAGCTAGTTTTTTTTCCTGTGGATTATAAGTATTGCGTGCTATTTCTAAAGTGCATGATGCTAATTTATATTCTGTCATACAGCCCTCGTGCCTCATAATTTATTTCCCAAAGTTTCTAAAGAATGGGTTGACCACCGAATTAGACAAAATTCGGAAAATTCGGACCGTATCCAGGGAAAAATTGAATGAAATTTGAGCAAATTTGAATGTAATTTCTCCGAACAGTCAAACAAGGTCGTGGGCATGGAGAGGGTGCATCCGGTGGCGGCGTGCAATGCACAAAGCGGCAGGGAGGGCAGCAACGACACCGCACACGCATAAAGTGACCACAGCAGTCGTCATCGCCCACAGATCGCCGCACCGGCGCCAGCGCCGTCGCCACCGTCTCATTTTGTCACCGGGTCGTGGTCCACACCGGCGGAGCCACGTTATGGCCATAGAGGGCTCCGCCCCCCTTGCCACACGCAAAAAAAAAAATGAAGATCTATGTTTGTTGCAACAGATCATGTTTGTTGTGCGTGTCCGGATGGCTAGGCTAGCTAATTCAGCCCACAAGGCATAGGCGATGGGTCACCGACCATATGCAAGCCAGCCCATTATGCACGCAGTGGTGGCACTTGGGACCTGGCATTGCTCAACATGCAAAGCAAAGGGGAAGAAAATAATCCATATCCACCGAGTGGCCAAGACGGCCGGTGGAGGCTCACAGACGACGATAAGGCGACGAGCCGGAAGCCAGAGGTCGAGCTGTCGATGCCTCGTGGCGGCCTTCCCAGTTGACTCGCCGACTCATCATCGGCCCGGGCGGGAGGGCGGCGGCGCTCCCACGCCCACGCTCGCTCGACTGCTTTCATAGACCATGTAGTTTAGAACCAAAACTTATTTCTATGGAATTTCTCTATATGTTGTCTCGGATTTGACAAATGCCCCCCCCCCTATATTAGGCTTCACGCTCCGCCACTGGTGGTCCATGTGAGCAAGTGGGAGCTTCATGAACAAGGGACTCACGAAGAAGATAGATGGGAACGGTTGGAGATGGCTGTTGGGGAACATGGGAGGACTGGATGCTGAAGACGAGATCTGCTAACACCTCTACAGAATTGCTGCCGGCGGCCACCAGGGAGAAAGAGTAGGAACAAGTGTAAATTTAGGGTTTCTAAGAGGTGTTCAGGCATTTATAGTAGAGGTCGGGATCTCTGGGCTGGTTTGGGCCATGGGCCGTATTGAAAATTTAAATGAGGCCGAATTTTTTTTGGCCAGTTCATTTTTATTTCAGGCCCAACCAAAATGGACGAATTTTGGTTAAATTCGGTCCATTTAGGGCGAATCCCAGAACCGTGGGTTGAATACCTATTTCTTCACTGTGACTTTGCAAGAACCTTCTGGAACCTGATCAACTTCAGCTATCCACAAGATTTCCCAATACTACAGATTGTAGAAATATAAAAAAAAACAGTTTCAGCTGCCTTTTTTATGGACATATTTCATTCTTATGTGCTCGTATATTTGGACTGCATGGAATGACCTCATCTTCAAAGGACTTCATTCAAATCTGACAGCATGCCAAGCTCTGTTTGTCAGTGAACTGCTTCTATTTTTACACAGGGCAAAGTCCCCCATAGCGCCATTTCTCAAACTATGGATAGAAAGTCTCATGTAATTTACCTTATTTTTTCATTCCTTTTTATATTTTCTTATTAATTTTCTTCTCTTTTTCTTCTCCTCTTATTTTGTTTGAACTACCCATTTTTGATTTATACATATCTTAACCAGTAGGTGCCTCTCGTGACTTCTAAAAAAAATCCTTAAATAGATACATATAATTATATACTCTCTTTTTTTTTCTTCAAATTAAATTAGTTTCTAAAGTTGTCATAGGTCAAACTATTTTAAGTTTACCCAAAGTTAAAGAAAAGATCATCAATATTTAAGACACTAATTTAGTATTACTGGATACATCATGAAATATATTTTTACTTTATACTTATTTGGTGTCATTTTCTGAAATTGATTTATTTTGGAATAGAGGGGACTATACTCAAGCGAACGTGCATGCACGTGTAACCAACAGCTCTGAGCGTTGAAATTCTCGATTATAGTATATCAATTAGTTTGTCCTGCCCCAGATAACATATTATTAAAGTTTGCGGCATATATGCAGCTCGTGGCAGATTACTCCAGAATGGTCGATCGATGCCACTTACTAGCACAAACAAGCCTAGTAGTATCTTATTATATAATCTCTAAAACTTTTTAAAAAAATATATACTCTGTCCTCGTGGAGTTTTTTTTTTTCCGAAGACCCCTCGTGGAGTTATCTCTTCTCTTCTCTACAGCTAAAGAATACGTAAAAGTATCTTACCGCCCCGCCCTTTCCGTAAAAAAAACCATCCGAGCTCCGTAGGAAAAAAAAAAAATCGCCCAAGAGCCCCTGTTTCCATTTTTCCCGTTCGGCTCGCCCCTTTGGAGTCCACATAGGTAAGGGTTATCGTCGTTTGCAAACCCTGCATGCTCCCCTGGAGAGTCCGGATCGACTTCGTCAAACAGAAACGTCAAGTACTACGGAAATTAAAAAAGCACACTTTACACCTTAACAGTAATGCACGAGGACTCCCCTATGCGGCGCTAATGTAGCGGTGGCGGCGGGCATAAACAGCGCAGCGGCACTACTGCCCCTTCAGCTCTATGGCCGTCGCCGCTAGTGCTGATGATGACGCGGACATGTCGGCGATCCTGGACACAATGTGCGTGTGGTGACGCAGACGATAGATCCGGAGATCTTCGACGTGAGCTTCGTCACTACTCACTACCCTGAAGATGATTTACTAGAACATGACGTGCTTGGGCTTCCAGTAGCACCGGCTCCGGCGAGGGCAACAACACCATGCATGTTCTGCCTTGGGCATGCAGTGCATGAGCTACCT